TTGCGGAGATGCGGCTGTGAAATTTTACGATGCCCTGCACCAAAACATGCCACCGGCGTCACGACGGCCTCGAAAAATTTGACCCGAAGTGATAATGGAACATGCTTACCGCATAAAATCCATTTGTTCGCCCAGAATGCACGTGCAGCTGCATGGAGATGGAATCCAATATCTGCGGTTTGGTCACCATCCATTGACAACTGACAGCCTAACCACTGAACGACTTCAATGTAAACGTCTGCATGAAGCCAAGCTCGATCGAGTGGCTGAGCTTGGGTCGTCATTAACTTGGTTTTCGAAGCATTCAATACCAAACCAACTTGTCGCAAACCTGAAACCAATGATCTCAACAATTTGGTGTGGATGGCAACAGTGGTAATGATGGCTTCTCATGCCGCTTCTACAGTATTACTACCAACCTCGCCACCTCCACCACCACCGCGATTCTTACTGCCAGACCAACGATTGCTGCTAGAACAACCACCACTTTTTCTACAACAACCGTTGCTATAGCTACTACAACTATAACAACCACAAAAACATTACGAGTTCTAGTGCTACGACGATGACGACGAGGACTACTACTCGTGTGGCTAGTTCCCCTGATACCACAACGACAACGGCGACGGATTTACGGCTACTACCACTTTTGACACGGGTAGTGGTAGTAGTAGTAGTGGTAGTAGCAGTAGTGGTAGTAGTAGTAGTAGTAGTAGTAGTAGTAATAGTAGTAGTAGTAGTAGTAGTAGTGGTGGTAGTAGTAGTAGTAGTGGCCGTCGTCGTCGGAGTTGTTGGTTTCAGCACTACTCCTGCAGCTGCTGGTGCGACCGCCGCCCCCACTGCCACCATAATCACAACCACAAGTGCCTCCATCACCTCTACCACTGCCAGTGCCTTTACCATTACCGTTCCCTTTACCTCGCCTCCATTTTTTCCCAACACCTCTATCTAAGCTCCACCTCCATCTCGACGGTGGATGGAGGAAATCATGCACCGCCCAAATGCTGACTTACGACATCGCCCATTACCAAGCTTTCATTGTTGATAGCATGTTATGTGGCTCGTGCAAAAATTGCAAAGGTTTTTGTCAGCGGAACACACAGCGCTGCCCATGACTGACTGGACATCAATGTTAAACAGTGGGTGCGGCGTATCCTCACTGTCCGTCTATATTCCAACGGGTGCAAGGATGGATATGTGTTTAGAACGACATGTGCGCAAAGATTTACCATGCTTTACCCACACCCATCGTGAGCGACCTCGATCTGAATTGTTCACGGAGCAACCACGTTCAACTTTCATACCTCCTTGACAATTAACATTGCAAGTATAAGTAACATATGCTGCAAGAATCAGCATTTGGTGTAATCTGAAGGATGCGGCTTCATCGCCCGATGCGGAACACGATGACACGACCAGCATTGGGACAAGCTGTGGGCAATTGAATGTCAGCCACTTCCGTCGCTCAGCTTGAGCAGAGCGCCTGGATGAGGAAACATCACATGAGAGCCGGAGACGATGGTAGCACCGACAGCGAGCTGTGCCCCGTGCCATGGCGCAAGGCCATGGAAGACCACCTCGATGCGCAGACCGTCGCTGACCGGCATGGCAGCGTTCATATGAGCGACACGCACGTGGCAGGCAACCCGGCTCGGCGCCCGTTCGAGCGGTAGCAGTTTGGTGGGGCGCACCCTGGCCGCACGGCGACCGGCGAAGAAGCTTGACGCCCGGGCGGCATTGCGGCCCGGCCTGGGAGAGCAACTTGCAAGGCGCGAGAGGCAGGAGAAAGGTCAGAAAGAAAGATGCGTCTCATGGCGCACGCTCATCGCGTGGGCGGCTCGGCGTTGCCAAGTGAGGACACGGTTCGTTTATCTGGACAGGGGGGACTGCCTGCAGATTTTGGTGGGACGCGGAAGGCGTGCGCCGGGAGCGCGCGCGGCTGCAGCGACGGAGGCGACCCTCCCTGCTTACGTTGCAGCCTGCGGCGCACTCGCATGGATGACGGGAAGGGTGGCATGGAGCCGCTAGTAACAAAGCTCTTGCCGGTGCCGTCGTGGCATGCACAACCTATAGGATGCCGACGGAAAAGCAGGCGTCGCACAAGGTGTCCGCCGCCGCAAAGGCTTTTCGCAGGGAGAGCCCATTATGTTGTAGAGGCAGGCGGGAGGAGCGCAGGCTGTCTGCGGTCGCGCAGAAGCTTTCTTGGGCGACAGATCTTTTAATTTTTGCTTCTAGACTACGACGTTGTTCCTTGCAAGTGGGTTCCGCTCTTAGCTTACGCATCGGATCCTGCCGACAAGCGATACTCGCGTAAGGCCGAGAACACTCGGCGGATCAGTCGTGCAGAGGGTCGACGAAAAAGTCGCCAAATTGCCCGGCCAACGTCTTGGGCGAACCTTACACTGCACAAATACACGCTATGCACCTGCAATATATTCAACCGCCTTTGTACAGGACATGGTTCTTGGGGCAAATCGCAACAAACGCACTTAGCAGGACGCGTCGGACGCAGTGATTTCCGCATTGTTCGTTGTCGATGCGGCTGCTTTCGTCGTCCAATGAGTTTACCACCGTGCAGTGCCACGAATGATGAAAGATGATGAAAGCATATGTTTGCATTGTACGGTTCATTCGAAATAGCGGACAATCACTGCATCTGCACCACGTTATTCTTGCGGAACGGAGGCGAAGCAGTATAATCGCCAGCGGCCTCCGAAGCAAACTACGAGCAAAGTGATGCACTCGACTCGGAAAAATGCTGCGACACATCATCACGGGCCTGCTCCTTCCGCTTTGCCGTTCATGCATATCGCCAACACCCAATGCACGTTTCACCACGCTTCACAGCTCGAATCAGGGCAAGTTTCAAGCCATCCCCTCATGGTCGGTCTTGGCCACACATCACTGGGACTTCTGCACACCTCTCGGCCACGCCGGCCCCCGTGCGAATCAGTTATGCCAACAGGGAGGTACTGCTATGCCGGGGGCAGATCGGGCACGCCACGGCAAGGTATCAGGTATCACGCTTGTTTGACGCACTTCGATGCAGCCTTGAAGCCAATGGCGCCAATGGCTGGAAGCAGACATCTTCGCCGCATCTCATGAATAACACGAGCAGTGGGAATAGAGAAAACTCCAGTCGTGTTGCAAATTGTCCTGGCGCTTCGAAACAAGATCGCGAGAAGTTCAGCCTCGATCCTCCACACGAAATTCTGAGACAGCTCTGCAGGAAAAACCACGTCACTGCGGAGAGCCAGCGTCGCACCTGCCGTTGCTTCAGCCCACGGTCCCGAAAGCTGGCACAGCAGGATGCATCGTCGAAGATTGAAAGGCGGAACAGCTGCTGTAACGTGACAGAGCGTGCGGCGGCATGGCGTGTACGCTTGATATCTTCATAGCCAGTCGGCAACAGATGCCTTCTTCGTTCCACTCGTTTGCGGCGAAACAATCGGCCAACTTGAGAGCTAGGGGATTTCATGAGTGCACAATGTGGCCAAAATGGCTCGATGTTGGGGTTTTTGACCTTGCGTACCGTTTTTGTCTGGACGGTGTAGGATGGCTCGTGTCAGGCTTTGCGTAACGACTCGCCTTGGCCGCGGCAGAAGTCATTCCATCAACCGAGTTGCTGAGAAGTGTAGGATAAGGTTCAGGGTTTACATACACCATACACCCTAAACAAATCCCACAACCTAAAAGCAAGCTCGATGCCCATAAACCCTCCAACGTCTCTTCGGGGGAGCATGAATGGGAAGGCCCAGCTGCTGGATGTCCTGGGTAATGACGGTGGTGTTCGGGTGCCGCTTCATGAAGATGCTAATCCTGCAACTCAGAGACTCAGGGGCTCGAGTTTCGGGAGGTTTGAGGAACCCTAAAACCCGAAACCCCTACAAAAACACAACTGGGTTCAGCGTTTCGGGGTTATGGCTTACCTTAACCTACCAAAACCTACTTTTTTGTAGGGTCCCTACAAATCCCATATGAGGGTTTATACTAAGAACCTACAAAATAGTGGGTTTTGGGTTCTTTAAGGTAGGGCTTCCCCCAAAACTGGGATCTCCTTGAGCAATGCAAGGGCCCGGACTGCCTGCCTCTGACTGAAGAGAAATTGGGGGTGGCTTGGGTTCCTGGGGTTTTGCGGGTGTGGAGGTCGGTGGTCAGGGTGTCGGGCTTTTTGGTGGTTATGGGCGTGGCAGTAGTCAGCGTTTGCAAGAATGCTGGCAACAGAAGTTCATAACCAGCGTCATGAGAACAACAACTAATACGGCACAAGCAACACTCCATGAACAGAAGGAGCAGGAAGGACATTGGCAAACCAAAAAACAGAATCAGACCAGGGACCCTGAACACCCCAAAAAGCCCCTAAACTAAACCCTAAACCCTAAGCCCTAAACCCTAAACCCAAAGCCCTAAGCTAAACCCTAAACCCTATAAGTCCTAAACCCCGGGAACCTGACATCGCAGACGCAAGCAGGGATAACCCCGAGGTCCTCTCCGGAGGGCCTGAGCAGTTGTCGGCGTGTTATTAGAATAGGGTTTTGGGCTCCTTTATAATATAAACTTAATAAGGAACCCCAAGGAATATTATTAATAATTCTTGCGGCTTCTATATTTAGGAGTTAGCATTAGGGGGACCCTTGAGGATATAGACCCTCTAAAATTAAGGTCTGGGGTCTCCCTAAGACTACCTAGGAGTGATAGTTGAAGCTGTCGGGTTGTAGCTAAGGCTTCTTTTGGGTACATCGGAAGGTCTTGGTGTGGTCCCAAGGGAAACTCAGAACGAAGCCTTACATCCTATGTGGGCCGTTCAACACATGCCCCAAGGATAGGATAGATGTGCCTGACAGACACGTGTAAGCCTGCTTAGGCATGTTCATGTTCGTGAAAATGATGATGATGATGATCATGGCCGATGATGGCGATGACCATGACGAGGTGACGGTGCTGGTGCTGGTGGTGCTGATGCTGATGATTTCCTACTCGTTGTAATGATGAAGGTCATCCTGGTGGTGCCGACGATGGTATTACGAATTCTGCTAAAACTCGACCGCGAACGCAACACCAGACACCATAAGCCCTAAACTGAATGCTTCAAACCTAAGAATCCTATGGATCTCGTAGAAATTCCTGCAAGGACCCCTAAACCCTCATAGATCCCTGTAAAAAAAACAATAAACCCTACATCCCCCTTATCAAGACCCGCAATCCATCGATCCCTCAAGGAATGATTTTAATCCGGTGCATATCCTTCAAGGAACCCTGACCCCTTCTAAGCCCAAGGTGCAGGGCTGTAGCTGCTTGTCGTGCATGACGCCGATCAGGCGCCCCTTCGGACCAAGAGTGTCCGAGATGTGGCTCAAGGTCCTCAGGCGCCCCGGCGAGTTTAGGGCTTAGGCGGTGCCATTTTTTTTGAGTTTCGAAGTTTCTTTAAGGGATCCTTTCAGGGATCTACCAGGGCTGCGTACAGGGCTCCTTGAAGGGATCGTCTACAGGCTCCTTTAAAAACGACTCCCTTAAGAGCTCCTTTAATGGGCTGGGACCTTGTGACTTGTTTGGGCATGCGGGCTGAGGGATGCGGGAGGGATTGTGAGACTTGCTGCGGATAAAAATTGCGGGCGGACTGGTTGAAACGGATCAACAGGGGCCTGCAAGCGACGGGGAGGCTTTACCCGTCGTCAGAAGTGGAGTTATTTCTAGCCAGAATACATCTACATACCTCTACTACTTTCGGCGCTAATATGCCAGGAGATAAGCAAGCACAACACACACACACAACAAAAAAAACGACTGTGAAACTGACTGTTCCTGGTGAGCCACCTTGCTGCAACAGTGTCTCCGATACGCCCCTACATACATAATGACTACGTATATCTACGTATGTATATATGTATATCCATACATACATACATACATACATACATACATATATACATACATACACACATACAGACAGACAGACAGACAGACAGACAGACAGACAGACAGACAGACAGACAGACAGACAGACAGAAAGACAGACAGACAGACAGACAGCCAGGCAGGCAGGCAGGCAGGCAGGCAGGCAGGCAGGCAGCCAGGCAGCCAGGCAGGTAGACAGACATATGGATAGTTCTCTGAATTTTAGGGTCCTTTGGGGGGGCCGTTTTATAAGGGTGCCGTACCCTATTGGAGACCTAAAAAGGGACCCTAATCTAGAGAACTGCCCATATCCACACACAACCCTAAACCCTAAAGCCAAAGCCCTAAACCCTAAACTAGCACCACAGCTGGGGGCCCGTCTGGAGAGAGCACCCCAGGGCGAAGACGATGCTCTTCGGACGGATGGGGAAGTGGATGATGCGGTTGTGGATGGCTGCCTCGAAGGCTCTAGGGGTTTAGGGTTCTGGGTTTGGGGTTTGGATGTTGGGTTTGGGGCTTTGGATTTTGGGGTTTTGGGGTTTTGGATATTGGGTCTTGGGGTTTGGAGTTTAGGGGGTTTGGAAGCGGGGTTCCATAAGGATCTGCACAAGGGCTCTCCGGGGCTCTAAAACTAAGTCCCTAAACCCACAAAATCCAAGGCCCTAAACCCAATGCGCAAAAACACTACACCACAAACCCTCAAGTATAACCCCAAACTTTGGCAAGGGAACTCCTTCAAAATTGCACTCTCAATGGCTTTAGAAAGCCTAAACATCCGAGGGTCTATGAATCATAACCGTTGTTGAGCTATGACCCTAGTATAGGGGCTTAGGGTTTAGTTTATGGGGCTACAATACTACAGGGGCCTTAACAGTTCATCTAGGGTTACGGTGTAGATGACCATTGGGCTCTTTTGAGGAGGTGTTCGCGATGTATGCAGACCGCGACACCGAATCCTGAACCCTTCAAAGCGTTCCAGGGGTAGGATGAAGCTAGGTGGGGTCATCCTAAATAAGAGTCTTTACAATGTTACAAAAAGGAATCCTTAATCCTACCTCGCTTTATCTCACCTTTTGGCCTCTGAACCCTAAACCCTAAACCCTGAACCCCAAACCCGAAAAAATGTATCCCAAGCCCAAGCGGCCGCCAGCGCGCACGACTCCGGGTCCCACGGCCGAAAAGTCATGTGGCAATCTTGGTATGACCTGGCACAAGGCTTGGGGCCTTCTCTGGCCGCTTGGGCACAGACTCATGTAGGGGCCTTCAGTTTCAGAATAGGGTTTTGGGGTGTATCATACAATAATTATCAGAAGGAACCACCAAAATAGTATTGGTAATTATGAAGGCCCCTATAGTAGACAGAATAATTGTGGGGTTTATAATGAAAAACGTGTGTTAAGCTTTGGGCGTTCGGGGCGTTGGGCTTGAAGCCTAGGGATTAGAGTTTAGGCTTATGGTTTAGGGATGTTTAGGGTTCAGGGCCTAGGCTTTACTGTTTAGGGTTTAGGGTTTAAGGATGTTTAGGGTCTAGGGTTTAGGGCCTCAAATGGTACAGATGGGGATAAGCCAGGTTTAAGGCGCCGTCTGAGACCTGGGAGTATGGCCTCTTCGAATCGCGTAGTTCATACTATTCTACAATGATGATGTTGGGACTGCAAGGCGGGTGTAAAGCTTGTCATCCTTCCAACCCCTGTAGTGCTGCCCTATCCGGTCAGGGAAGCCCCAGGGGTTGGTTTTTTTGGGGCAAAGAGGCCCTGAACATGTTGAGACATTGGGGATCCCACTCTAGCGAAGCAAGAAAACCTTCCTAAATCCTAGACCCCACGAAAAGCCTGGGGCAGCCCTCCAGCCCTCCCCCCAAAGGCCCAAAATGCACGAACCAGGATCTAGGTTTAAGGTTAGGGGTTTAGGGGTTTAGGGCTTAGGGCTTAGGGTGGCCAAGGATGCACCACCCATCTTGAAACGAAGCCTTCCGAAAAGCCTAGTACGAACGGCACCACTTACCCAAGTAGTGAGCGGCTGGAGTATAGAATATATGGTTAAGTAAGCAACCTACAACTTAGGCAACTGGAGCCCTAAGCCCTAGGCCCCATGTGAAGCAAGGCTTTGATTACCAGTAGTATCTGCCCCAGACCCGCGAACAACAGAGATGCTACTGTCTGCATGTGCACATGCATGCATGTGCACGTACACGTCTATCCAGCCCTTCCCCCCCAGACCCTAAACCCTCAACCCCGTCTCCAAAACAAAACAGCCCGGCGCACATGGTGATAGGGTATGTGTAAATAAATATATATATATATATATATATATGTTATATATCAATCATGATAATAATAATAATAACAATAAAGCAAAAGCCCGGGGCACACGGTGATGGGGCTGTACTTGGTGCCGCTCTTGCTGCGCGCAGTGATGGTGGTCCCACGCCAAGCTGAGGAGGCCTCTTCGCCTGGTGTTCTGAGGGGACAACAATTGATAGCGCTAGGCAAACATGAGAAAGGATAATAGTAGTACCAATGATAATAAGGGAATTCGTTTAAGTATGGGTTTAGGGTTTACGGGTTTAGGGTTTTAGGGGTAATTCGTTTCGGGAGTTCAGGGTTCAGGGCGCAGGTTAGGGGGCCTAGGGTGGTGGGCTGCAAGGTATAAGGCTCGAGGCTTGAGGGCTTAGGTCTGGGCGCTTAGGATTTTATAGTTACGGTAGGATCAACCACCTTTTCAGGATCCCGGAACCATTGAGGATCCCTCTATTTCGTACAGAAGTGGCATTGGGCTGTATGGGCTTCGAGGACTCAGAGTCCCTTTTGGGTTAGAGATCTTCAGGGCACATCGGAGCCTGGAATGTGGGAACTGCGATTGTTTGGCAAAATCTGAGCGTCTGAGCAAGATCTTACCAGTTATCTGGCTACTACAGTATCTGCGTTCCTGTGAAGGAAGTGAATTTGAATTACGACAATGAAAACGCATGCTACTAACACTGTTTTCGTAGTGTGGTAACTCAGATTGAGTTCCAGTCACAAAACTTGCTATTAAACTCCGAGTATGATCTACTCGCAAAAGATCGTCAGTATTCTAATGACACAGGCCCCTACATGGGTAGTTCTCCAAATTAGGGTCCCATTTTGCATCCCCAATATAATACACCACCCTTATAAAAGGGGCCCTAATCGAGAGAACTGCCTACATGAGAGTCAACCAAGCCCACCTTCCCCCGTCCAATCTTCGTTCTGCGGCTCGCCCTCCCGCAGGGTGCAAATGACACCCGCCATGGCATTCCCGGACTGCTCGCTATCCTCTCAGCGGCTTATATTTGGGGGTTAGGGTTCAGGGTTTAGGGTTTAGCGGTTTAGGGTAGATGCATGATTAAGTAGGGGCCTTAAAACATAAAACAAGGTTTTGGTGCCATTATACTATACTTATAATGAGGAACCCCCAAAATAGTATCCGTAATTATTCAGGCCCCTATCTTCAAACTAGTATCAGCAACTTATTTAGGCCCTGATATTGGGGTTGAAGGGTGGTCCTTAGTGGCTTTAGGAGACGAGGGGAGCTGCAGAAAGCAAGGCAGACGACACACTGCTATCCTCAGCAAACTCACTCCCTTGGGGTTTAGGGTTTAATGTTTAGGGTTTCGGGTTTAGTGCGAAGGGCTTAGGGTTTAGGGTTTAAGGTTTAGGGTTTATACGGCTTAGTATGTAAAGTAATATAAAGAAAACCCTGAAACCAATGCAACACTGATGGGTTCAGGAAATGCTGCATTGGGATTGTATCGACGAGTTTCAGGTTTTCATCAAACGAGCAGCTGTCAAAGAGTGTTGCCATGAAGCCGTTAGCGCTGAGGGTTTAGACTCGACTGTTCACCCAACCCCCCCCCCCTCCTCCCCAACCCAAAAAAAAAACTACAGCCCCTCGACTCGGAACATACAAACTACAGCACGTTAAACCAGGAGAAAACATAAAACAGCTGAATGGCATTATAATATCCGTAGAACTCAGATTATAGCTGACCCGAATCCATGGTACACCTTAACTCTAAACCATCGAAGTGCATGCCCGCAAAAATACGGAACTAGTAGGTGGCCTACACCCTAAACGTCTAAACCCAAAGCCCTAGAGCCCTAAAAACCCTTAGTGGCCCGACTCCTTGGCGTCCGAGCTATCCTTGCCGACCATGCATATGTAGATGCCTTTGATGTGGTGCCTGTCTATGTCAATGCCTCAGATGTCCAGTTTAGGGTTTAGGGTTTGGGGTTTAGGGTTTAGGGTTTGGGGTTTGGGGTTTGGGGGGATTAGGGTTTGTGGCGGTTTAGAGTTATTGGGGGCTAAGGGTTTGGAGGTTAGGGTTTTCCCTGTTTTATCCAGCGCTGTGCCCGATAAGCTTCATGGAGCGCACACTTTGGGGGTTTAGGGTTTGGTATTTCGGGTTCATAATGGGGCTTACAGCTTAGAGGTTGGAGAGGTTCAGGGTATGTAGGGACTCGGTTTTCGTGTTTCAAGGTCTGGGCCTTCCGGGGTGCGTTTGGAATTAGCCGTAACTGATACGGTTAGGAGGTTTTCCAAGGAACATCAAGTCGACGAGGCCGGTTAGGGAGGTTTGGGGTTTAGGGTTTACGAGTGTTCAAGAGGGTTTTCCGGCGGATTTACAGGGCTTTTAGTAGGCTTTGGGGCGCAAAACCTGAATCTGAAATCCTAAGCGCATAATTCCGAAAACTGTAACGATATCCTAAACCCCTCCAATCCTGAAGCTTAAACTCTCTTTAGACCCCTGATATCCCTAGATGGAAAGCATCGTGCAAGCTGCCATTCCGCAGGATCTGGATCATGCCGCGCCCGCGCACACCGGCACCGTGACTCCGTGACAAAGAGCCTGAAGCAGGCGCTACCGAGAGATCCCAAGATGTAACCCCTTAAGCAAGGAATATACCTCAAATCAGAGGGGGCTTATTATTATTTATCATCTTTGGTTTGAAGTATATTCCTTAATTAAGGGGTATTGGACCCGTGTTTTGTTGCTGTAGCTTTTTTTGCTGTCTGAGCGCACATTCGGGGGCGCGGCGACGTGTCCTTTGTTTACTGTCGTCCCCAGGCGCGTTTTTTGTTGGCTTTCGTTGCTGGGGCACGTGTTTTTTTGCTGTCGTCCCTCGCAACGACAGCAAGAAAACAACGACAGCCAACAAAAAAAACAAAGTTACCGGCTCTCTGGGTATGGGGGTGAAATGGGGCAGGCAGGTTGCAGAAAAGGCTTGAAACCAGCTCTTAGGGTTCACTCATTCCAGTTGCCGGGCTATGGCTGAGGGCTTGGGGTTATCACGCCCATATGTAAAGGAAGGTACCACTGCTGCGACTGTTTGACATAGATGTGCAGATGTTAATGTAAAAACTTGTCTATGTCATCATTCTCGACCCTATAACCCTCAACTCGAAACCCTAAACCGCCCAAAATTTGTTGTGATCTGTTTATGGCCCTCAACTGAACGAGGAACCGGGGGTCCAGAGTAGTAGTCGTCTCAGATCTCCTCGCTTGGGTCTCTAGTAATATGGGTTTCTGAATCCATAGGGTGGTGGATACCTTAACCCACCAGAACCTACTTTTTTGTAGGGTCCCTATAAATCCCATATTAGGGCTTTGAATAATAACCTACAAAAAAGTAAGTGTTGGTAGGTTAAGGTAGAGTGAGATCTTATCAGACCGATCTGCCTATGTAGTCTTCCATACCCTAGTGAGTTTTCAGTCAGAACCCTGACTCAGAACAACCCTGTCAAACTCTGTAGACAAGAGTCACTCAAACCTAGAAGAAGCCGGAACCCATTCAATTCTGACTCGCATCCCGAGCTTGCTCTCGCTAAGCCTGCAGACGAAAGCTTATCTGAAACTTGGGCTTAAGGCTGATTGCTCTATAGAGTCTCTTGTAAAGGTGCAGTTGGTCTGCACATCAACATGGTTTGGAGATCCGGTGCAGGCTTTCCCGCGACTCAAATGCCAGCATGCAGGTTTGAACGGTGTTGTCCCTCTGAAGGCGTTACGGGCTCCTATAAGAGATCTATAAGGGGCTCCTAGCAGGGATCTACCACTGGGCTCGAAAGGCGACGGCCTTCACGGCGGCCAGCACAGCAGGGCGATGCACCCAATTAAAGCGGATGGCAAGTTCGAGGCATGGACACGACCATGCCCAGCTCGAGCCCACAAAAACCCGCGGGTTATATAGCTTCCAGGGTCTGGGGATTCGAAATGTCTTGAAGCTTGTGGGTCTGGGTCTGGGGATTAGAGATAAATTGAGGCGTGTGATGGCATGGCAACATCTGCGAAGAGGTCATTGACCGTGGTGTTCTTTCAACATCCGTTTAGACCATGCCCGAATTGCAGGGGAAATTTGCTGCAACAAGAGACACCAGCTGTGAATTTGTTGTCCCACGGTGACGATCGCTTTTCAAGCAACTTCAACTTCTGTCCTTCATTGGGGGTGTCCTGCGTGGGCTGATGGACAGAACGAGAGAGATAGAGAGAGAGAGAGAGAGACAGAGAGACACACGCAACCAGAGCCATCAAACACTGGGCAGTAGAGACATGCGTGCGCACATTTGCACAGATGCCTGGGGCTAGGCACATGTCAATGTTTGTGGCTGCGTTTCTTCATGTAAATAAGTATATAAAGAAGTATAATTATACATATATACACGTATATTTGTTCAGTTTTTTGTTCATACATACATACATACATACATACATACATACATACAGACATACATACATACATACATACATATGTATATATATATATATGCATGTGGACAGCTATACAGACAAACGTGTAGGTATCTGCAAAACATGCGTATACAGGTATGGATCTAAGTAGTATAGGCACCAAGCACGAGACAGCCAGAGAATGGAGACGCTGATACTGGCACATCCGTACATGGCGATAGACATATGGATCGGGCGGTATTATGGCCAATTTACATACGTCCATTGCTCTATGTCTGTTTGCAACCATGTCTGCAGATATCCATGTATGAGCAGAGACAGACAGACATTTGCGACACTGGAAACACTCACAATCACACGTGTATGTGTATGTGTGAGCAGGTGCCAATTCGTATACTTATAGATGACATTGCATGCATGTATGCTATATGTAAGCATGAACCTCTGTACGTATGTATGTACATATCCTAAGGTCATAAATAAACCCCAAACCAGCAACGAGCACCAAAAGCTAATGCAGTAAACCCTAAACTTCTGCACTTTAACCCAATGTTGAAAAGACTCCAGAGCAACACCCAAACTATCCAAACACGAGTTCACAAGGGATGCATGCCGGCGGTGCGACTTTTGTGGGGAACTGCCCCAAACAAAAAAACCCTAAGTTCAAGCAGGGATCGGACCTGAACCCTGACCCCTCAACTCGAACTCTGAAACTCTACACCCTAACTCCCCCAAAAAGCCTCAAAGCCGAAACCCTGAAGCCCTGCACCCCTTCGGAAACAATGTCTTTCGCAACGCCTCACCGAAGATCCTCTTCTGCCGCCGATTCTTCGAATCGGGGCGGGGTGACAGCGAACTTCATGCCAGCCGAGGTCCCTGAACCCTGAACCACGTAAATGTTAATGAGTATGAGTGATAATAGCAGGAACAAACGTAATAAAGACGAAGAAGCAAAATAGCAACAACAGCAAGAATCATAAATAACAAAGAATATTAGTGTATTATTTTTTGTATAGTTGTAATATGTTGTAATTGTAAGAATAATGATGGTGATAGTTATAATATTGATAATCATCACAAGAAGAAGAATGATACTGATCATGAGAAGAAGAATAGTAATAAGCTTGTGGGGACCCTTCATAACTTCACCACTAGGACGAGACTCGCTTACAACGTCAACCCCGAAAGTGTTTCAGCCTGAATACCAGATGCCTAACTAACTCCGAAAGCCTTTAAACACTGATCCTCAAGTCTTACACTTATACTCCAAATCTGGAAGACTAACCTTCGTTGCAGCTGTTGCATTGACGAAATCTTGCACAATGGCATATGCCCCAAAGCCCTAAATCCTGACCAAAATGCCCCAAAGCCCTAAATCCTGACCAAATCCATACCGAAATCATTAAACCCTAACAAATGCACGAGCCTCTCAAAGCTACGAATCCTAGCCGACAGTTGTCCTTATAGGGACGTTTTAAGACTCTGACTGCAATAGACATACTGGTAAGCTTAGCACATGAGTACTGTAGTCCAAGGAAGGATAACCTTTTGAACTACGGGAGGATTTCGTCAACCCCAAAACGGTAAACAGCTCCTAAGTCTGCTCCCTGAAGAGTAATCTAGGGGCCTTTATAATTAGAATAGGGCTTTGGGGTCCGTTATACTATAATGATAATAAGGAACCCCCAAAATAGTATTGGTACCACAACAACCCATTGCTCTCGGCTCGAGTGGATGGGTGAAACACCGGCCACACGAACGCTTCGGGGCTGCTTCTTCGGCTTAACAGTTTTCAACAGGATTCGGGGGGCATAATCTGTATGATAGTTTAACTATATAAAGACCACAAGAGTGGTAATGCTCCTAAAGTTTTCCGGCCCCTATGTTGTCACTGGGATCAGGCGCTCGAAGAGTCCCTTGGCATCGCTGCCGCGAAGAGCCCCGCTAGGCCCCCTTGGGGACGTCCGTAAACCTCAGGATCTCCTGGCACAGGGAGGCCCAGAGGCTTTACTTCAGGGGCCCGTATACCCAAGAGTTATGAGATTCCAGGCTTTTCGGGTTTCGGGCTGTAGTAGATGGGACTTAATACTCAGCATTGGGCTTGTGGAAGGATTTGTATGAGGCTTTGTGCGTGCCTTTACAAAGCGGTGAAGAGCATTTTAATGCTATTTCATGCTTCTATAGGCTTGCAGGCCCTTTATGGTAAGCTATAGAGGTGGCTGCAAGGGCTATTTTCCCGTTGGCATTCCAATTTAGCGTTTAGGATGCCGGGTTTGAACTTAGGCTAAGGTTTGGTAAGGTTCAAGGTCTGAAGTTAAGTGGGTACTAAAAATACAGTATTAATGTTGAGGCGTTTGAAACCTGTACTTTGTGTTTAGGGTGTTTAGGGCGGTTGGTGCGCCAAATGCGACTCCCGAAACACTTCAAAGTCCCACCGCCCCGCGAAAAAAAAAAAGTACATCCGCGGCACTGCAGCAGCTTGTATGCTCCTAACCCCTACACCGCGGCAGGCCCCTACCTCCGAAACCTAGTACCGTGAACCCGCATAGTCTCGTAGTTCCTGAATCCCTGAACCCGAAACCCGGCACTCCTACTCAAGATTTCTTATGGTTGCGACATATGCCGCCCTCAACTCAACCGGACTTCAAAATAAAGGAGCTAGTTGCAAGATACAATTACGGGTAGACCCCAACCCTCACCCCAACCACTTTATAATATCCTTACAGACCCGTATAGAACCCGACAAAAGCCCTTATAACAAATGAAAGGGCCCAACACTACCCTCCAAAACCCCAAAGAAGCTGCCAGCGCACCCTCCGCCGGTCGATGTTCGGCGGCACCACCTTCGCCTCCGGCACCTTGGCCTGATCCGGATTTTTTGGATTAAGGCTTCAAGGCTTGTAGAGTTTTGGGGTTTTAGGGCTCAGGGCTCTATCTCTTAGAGTTCTGCGGTTTCGGGCTCTGGGTTTAGAGGGCTTTAGGGATGTGGTAAGGTGAAGTTTTCGTTTAAAGTTTTTCAAGCAGTCTAACAAGTCCGCAATTGTTTCGGTATGCTGGTGGTGTAATATAGATAGAGACCTGAATGATTAGAAATATTCTTCTTTAGGGTTGACGGTAGAAGCAAAATCTCTCGTGAAAAGGCTGCTTGAGGGCGCGATCATCATCAGCATGCCCATCCGTGCTGCCTTTCATGGCGAGCTTCTCAGCTAAACCCCCTCAACTGTTTTCACCTGCACACTGCTTCGAGACATCGCGACAACTCAAGCTTGGAATCGCCTGTAAAACTTCGCATCGGTCAAGGCTATGACCTGCGCAAGCTTGCACAAGCAGCCATGCTGCTGCAGAACCTTCAGGCGACTCAACATTCGAGCGTATCTGTAACCGAGCATAGCTGGCTGGCACACAATCATGGAACAAATTTGCTCCTTCGAGTAAAACTGCTGCAGAAGTGAAACCTTCAGCGAGAGGTTTTTCTCGATGCTGTAGCCAAGCACTTGAGGCTTCTGACAGATGACTTTTGCCACTTGTGCTCGGCTCAGCCCAACATCCTCGAGCCAGGCCACTGTCGGTTTCAGATTACCCTCGGTGCTGCAGCCCAACACTTGAGGAAAGACAGCAACGACTTTGGCCACTTGTGTCCGGCTCAGCCCAACATCCCCGAGCCAGGCCACTGTCGGTTTCAGATTACCCTCAGTGCTGCAGCCCAACACTTGAGGAAAGACAGCAACGACTTTGGCCACTTGTTCTCGGCTCAGCCCAACATCCTCAAGCCAGGCCACTGTGGGCTTCAGATTGCCGTCGACGCTACAGCCCAACACACGAGGATATCCAGCAACGACTTTGGCCACCTGTGTCCGGCTCAGCCCAACATCCTCGAGCCAGGCCACTGTGGGTTTCAGATTGCCGCCGATGCTACAGCCCAACACTTGAGGAAAAACAGCAACGACTTTGGCCACCTGTCCTCGGCTCAGCCCAACATCCTGGAGCCAGGCCACTGTCAGTTTCAGATTACCTTCGATGCTGCAGCCCAAGACTTGAGGGCTGCCAACAACGACTTTGGCGACCTGCTCTCGGCTCAGCCCAACAGCCTCGAGCCAGGCCACTGTCGGCTTCAGATTGTCGTCGATGCTGCAGCCCAAGACTTGAGGGCTGCCAGCAACGACTTTGGCCACCTGTGTCCGGCTCAGCCCAACATCCTCGAGCCAGGCCACTGTGGGTTTCAGATTGCCCTCGGTGCTGCAGCCCAACACTTGAGGAAAGACAGCAACGACTTTCGCCACCTGTCTTCGGCTCAGCCCAACATCCTCGAGCCAGGCCACTTTGGGTTTCAGATTGCTCTCGATACTCATGCCCCAGATCTTTTGAGACCTGCTTGCCAATCTGCTGATTCCAACTTCTGAAAACTGCAGCTTCTCTTCCAGAAATGCAATCACATTGGTCTTCCTGATTTCGACAGCACTGGTGAGCACTGCCTCACCTGTATACTTGCACGCAAGATGTAGGTCTGGTGAAGCTTCGGTTGACCGAAAACTCTGCAGATGCTCGCACACATCCTTTCGAAGTACGTTTCCCCAACTGCCGAGCAGAGCCTGCGAAACTTGTCGAACAACATGCATCAATGTCCGCTCTTTGCCTGCAGACCACGTGCCTACCACGACTTCCATCGAATTCTTCGTCCTTGGCATGTCCCGAGCAGCATGGCCTAGACGCAAGACGTAAGAGCCCTTGGGTGCATACGCGAGCAGAGCGATCGTCTTCCGCTCATCCGCTTCCAGCCCTCGAGCATCGTAATGTCCATGATACCCGTCGTACTCGACGAACAAAGCTGCGTCCTCTTGCTTCAACACTCCAAAAGCTGTAATGTCGGGGCACAGCCACCGCGACCCCCACGAATCGGAGGGCTCCACAGGAAAGTCGCGGAAGAGCTCCCCGATGGGCTCCCCTGGCATCAAGAGCTGCGCCAAACGAGACAGCAGCTCCACCTCCGCAAAGCTTCGGTGCGTTGTCCTCGGCCGCCCCTTCCTCCACCAGGGCGGCCCAGAAGCCGCCAAGCCCAGCACACCGAAGCCGAGGAGCCAAGAGGCTCCCAAGAGCCTCCATGGGACCCTTCGCCTCCCCTTCCCACACAGCATCTTCACATGCTCTACATGGCCCTACATTCCGAGCAGCTGCAGGGCCAAGGCAAGGGCACAGAAGCTTTTGAAAGGCGGCCCTGTGGATGGAGAAGCCCCTCTGCTTCCAAGTAGACAAAGATCTCACTCCGGTCATCACCGTGTAGAAATCCCATGGCCCAAGACCCCATGTCACAGAGGGCCCCAAAACTAGGGTCAAAAGGCAACCCCGAATGCTAAGTTCTGAAGGGATGCGAGCTTACGGTTAACCCCACACCGCCTTCTCATCGAGTGGTGCCATGCACCGCGCCATTTTCTGCGCCTCGGCTGTCCCCCAAAAGGGCCAGGATCTGGGGGTCTCAAAACTGGTGGGCCCCTTTGTAACGAGAATCCGGCTCTGTAGGGTTCTACTGCGACTCTTGAGGAATCCGCCGTAGTTTAAGGATTTCCGTTTTGCTGGGAAGGCCTGGTGAAGGGGTAGAGAGGGCCAAAACCTACATGAGCAGGGCTTAAGGCATTGAAACCCTGAAAACCCTCACACGAATCTGGGGCTTCGGTCATCTTGCTGCTGCTCTCGACGCGAGTCAACACAACTCTAGCTCTTGTGCATGTACATGCAGCTCAGAATCCAAGTTAAGTATGCCTAAAAACAAACATAAAAACAAACCTCCAACATGAACAAACATAGGTGTGAACAGATCAATCAGAAGCTGGGGCAAAGAAACACAACTGTGTCAATGTGCATGTGTGTAAGTGTGCGCATGTAATTAGATGTGTATATGTCCACCTACCTAGCTAGCTAGCTGGCTAGCCAGCTCCCCGTAGCTATCCATCCATCCATCCATCCATCCATCCATCCATCCATCCATCCATCCATGGTCCATCTGTCTATCCATCCATTCCTATACCTGTTTGCTTATATGTATCATTATCTACAGGGTCTTGGCCCTCTGTGTATGGGTGTAAGACTTCCGGACTGCTCTTACCTCCGAGGCACGTGGAAACGCGTAGAAGTGCCGAAGCTGAAAGAGGGCGGCGCAGAGGTAGTCCTGGAGCATTACAGGGCTTACAGCTTAGGGTTTAGGTTTTGGGTTTAGAGCCCTGTAGGAATGAGGGTTTAAGGTTTGGGATTGGGGTTTAGGTTGTATAGGATTTAGGCTGCTTTAGGGTTTAGGGTTTATGGCTTGGGGCTTCGAAGGGCTATCAAACTCGGTAACGGAGTGTCATTAACAGACCAGAGATGCTGGAAGTATCAGGGGACTCAGCAAGCCGGGTCAAGAGCTACACTTAGAGGTCGGAGAGGCCTAATCGGGGAACTTACAACTCCAATTTTGAACTTACTCAGTAAGTCTCCTGATCCCTCGAGTAGTTGTTGATAAGGCGCCTATGGCCCGTAAAAGAAGCGCGAAGCTTCAATCTGAGCGCGCGCCGAACCCAGATGCCTCGAATCCAAAAAGGCTTGAAGAATTACAATACTTTTCTTGAAGAGTTCCCTAAGACAACTCTAATGCACAAGAACACTCCAGAGCAGGATTCTGATACTACTTCATAAGACCCCCCATGTTAATCCCAATGTCTCAAGCCCAGCCTAAACCCGAAATCCCAAACCCAAGATCCGGGACTTAGAAAGTCGGTCATATAATTAGATTGTCAATTATGTTACACCTGACGTCTGGGGTGCCTATAACCCCAGTTATAGCCCACAACTTAAGTCCCCTGCAATTCCCTGATCCTCCCAGTAAGCCTGAAACCCAACCTCTCGGGGGCGCACCTGTTGAACTGAATCGCCCGCTTGCCCTCGCCATCCCAGAGTCGCCCCGTATCGTGGGCGCGGGCCTTTCGATGCATCTGTGGCTTACAAGGGGAAACCGTCGCTGGGCGCCTGCTCGTTGTTTGGGTGCCGTTTTGCAAGGATTCGGGGCGACAGGCGCTTGAGCTTGAGGTTGCGGCTTCCGGGTTTGGGAATTGAGGGTAGGGTTCGGGCTTGTGGAGTGTACGTTTATAGACCGAGTCAAAAGGCCAAACTGACTTGATGTAGCATGCGTTCGATGTCCTCCAACTGAACCTCGGGTGTGCTCTGAACTAGGCCTAGCTGCTAGGCTATTCAGGATCCAGAAATGGACAGCAGTTGAGAGATCGACTTCCAGCGACACTGTGGCGCAGTGCAGGGTTCTGGGTTTCGGTTCTCGGGTTTTGGAAGAACTGGTGTAGAATGGGCCAGCGCTGACTATGGCTATACGAATCAGCACAATTCACAAACACATCACAACCGATGTTCTGGCAAGGGGCCACACCCAATAAGGCGTGGGTCAAACGGCACAAAACCAAAACCAAACAAAGCAAATCAACCCCAGGATTCAAAAAAACTGCGTCAAAAACGAAGAAAACTCTTTAAAGAAAGGAGAAACTAAGCCACGACACCCTAAACCCAAATGCAAGCCCAAACACCCTAAGACTCGAAGATCCCTTTCCACCAGTCCCCGCCTTCTTTTGAAAGCGATCCTTCTTGTTGCAACTCCAGGAGGGGTTGCTCTTCCTTGCGCAGGGCACTCAGGGCTTTGGGTTTTAAGTTTGGGGATTGTTTACGATCTGAGAGTTTAAGGCTTTTTGGGCCGAGGGCGTTTAGTTGACGGGCTTATGGGGCTCAGGGCTTTTAGTCCAAGATGGTCAGGATTCGATTTAGGGCTGCGGTTCCGAGCCAGGCTACTCAAGCTTCCGATATTTGGGGGCGGCGTTGGGCGAGGAGTGAACGAAACTGAAAAGGTTTGGTGCTTCAAGGTTTAAACCTCTGGGAGATTTGGTTTGGAGGTCCAGGGGTCTGTGCTTTAGGATGCGTCTAGACTACTGCTAGACGAAGGCGACGACTCAGATTACCAGAAGATGATAAGCAGAGCGAAGTGAAGATGCAGAAACAGAAGAAGAGCTGCAACATTGTGATGATGATGATGATGATCTTGATGATGATGATGATGATGATGATGATGATGATGATTACGATGATTATGATGGTGATGATTATGATGATGAGGATGAGGACGATGATGATGATGATGAGGATGAGGATGGCATTGGTACTGGTGGTGATAAAGACAGTGGCTGTGACAATGATACTGATCCTGATGATGGCGATGTTGATGATGATGCTGATGCCAATACTGTTGCTCATGCTGGTGCTGATGCCGATGCTACTGATGCTGGTGAAGGTGCTGAATATGAAGAAGCAGAAGATGATGGTGATGGTGACGATGATGATGATGATGACTCTGATGATGCTGACGACACTGATGATGCGCTGCTATGACGATGCTGATGCTGATGCTGATGCCGATGTTGATGCGGCTGCTGCTGATGGTGCTGCTGGTGTTGCTGATGATGCTGTTGGTGATGCTGTTGATGCTGATGCTGATGCTGACGCTGGTGCTGATGCTGGTGCTGATGCTGACGATGGTCAACATCATCATGATCATGGTGATGATGACGGAGGCGATGGCGATGAGCATGACCATCACGATGATGATGGTGGTGATGATGACGATGACGGCGATGACGATGTTGATGATGACGATGTTGTTGATGATGATGATGATGATGATGACGGCGATGACGATGTTGATGATGACGATGTTGATGATGATGATGATGATGACGAAGATGACGATGTTGATGATGACGATGTTGATGATGATGATGATGATGATGATGACAATGATGACGATGATGACGGCGATGACGATGTTGATGATGACGATGTTGATGATGATGATGATGATGATGATGATGATGATGATGATGATGTCGGTGATGACGATGATGATGATGATGATGGTGATGATGCTGGTATGGGTACTGGTAGTGATAGAAACAGTGATCGTGATAATGATTCTGATCCTGGCAATGATTATGGTGATGATGACGATGATGATGATGACTCAGTTTACATATCTGGGCAAAACTCACGCTTTGGCCCTGATTCTGGGGCAAAAGGCGCGTGTCTGGCTTGGGGTGTTTCGGCAATGAGGATTCAGTTCGATCGGGAAACAGATTAGGATACTGACGTGTTTCAATACCTCACGGGTTTCGGGGTCATGGCTTCCGGTTGTGGATCGTAGCCTGTAGAAGTCGGGGCATAGGGGTGTGACGGCTCGGAGCTGCGATGGGTGGGTTGCTTCCCTAAATCGCGACAGTGTGAACCCTAAAGCCCTAGACTATAAAACCTAAAGGACAATCACTGCGGCCATGCGTCTTGTCGGACTCGTACTGTGTGCCCACTGCTGCCTTGCTGGCCAGCAGATGGCTTTTCGCGGCTCATTCTCTTCCCAGAGACACCAAAGCCCCGTTAAAGAAATAGAACCTGACCGTACCTGACATGACGTCGCATTACGATGCCGTATTCATTTGAGGCGTAATTCGTGGGGCTCTCTGGCTTTAGCATTGTACCTAGGGTCGGCAGCTTTCGCCGTCCAACTTCAGGCCGAAGAGCCTGGGTTTGAGGGCAAAAGTCTGACAAGAGCCTCGGGCACAGTGTCTTTTAGGATGTAGGTGTTATATTATAATGTAGTATATCTATACCTTATTATATCATATGGTATATCTTATACTATGCTGTACTATACTATAGTATTCCAGAGTATAGCATACTGTGCAGTCTTATATTGTATCATATTCTACAAGGTCCTAGTTTGGGGATGCATGAAAACAAAAGCCAAGCCAGCCGGGAATTGGCTTCTTCCCGATATTCCGACTCTGAAATCCCCTAGACCCAAACCCCTGAACCCTAAACCCTCTAAAACACTCCAAACCCTGAGCCCTAAACCCTAAAATCCTGAACCCCAAACCTTCTAAAAGCCCTCAAAACCCTGAGCCCTAGACTCCCTAACTTCTCCATTTAAAACCCAAGGCCCTACTCTCCCAAACCCTTGTCGCCGAACGCAGATCTGGCCAGGGGCCGGTATGGGATAGGTACCAGGACCCACCTCGCATCAGAGGCACTTCCATTCGGGTTTCAGGAGTTGGGTTAGGGT